TGGTGAACGATGGGTGAACGGTGAGCGAACGCAGAACGCGAACGGAGCGCATATGCGAGCGCAAAGTGAACGGTGAACAAACGGTGAACGCAAGATGAACGATTTATTCGGAATGCCTCTGATCTTTTCCTTGAATTGAAACTATTCTATTGTATTCTAATGCCTGATGCTAAAAAATAAATAAATAATAATTAAACAAATCAATGAAAATTGTCCTAAGAAAGACAATACATGCTCATTAAGTAAAATTAATTTAAGTTTCTTACAATATTTTCTGCACATAAGTACGATGTTTAAATTCAACTTTGTAATAACACGATTTTTATCGCTATATAACATTGTAATTGTTACCGAAGGCCATAGTATAAAAGATAAAATTAATCTAGTTGTAAAATAAATATGTATATTCTTATTTGATATAGAAAACAGTACAAATAATGTGGATTTTAGAAGAGAAAACTACGGACTTATAGAATGAATTACAACGGTTTTAACAACCGTATATATATTTCCGTGCCAAGGCGATTCCGTGTAAAATAATGAGAAAAAAAAATTAAATATTTTACAAAGGGATCTGAACATACTGCATAAATACACTCTTATTTTAAAATTTTAATGCAATAATATATTTATGTGTCAGTTTTATTTTTTATGATGATTTATTGAGCAGACTTCTACACGTATCTGTAGACATTTCCCGGCCGTGATTATACTCGAAGATGACACAAAGAGGCATTCATATTATTTGTTATAGATTTTCACAACTTGATATTTTAGTAATATGCTGTCATAGTTTTTACTACACTGAAAAATGAGAGAGGGAGAGAGAGAGAGAGATTCGGTTTACCTATACCAAACAAAAATTCTAAAAAAAAAAATTCTAAATATATCAGGCATATATCAGGCAGTGAAAGTAACCCTTTTTTTTAAATCAGCAAATCCATTTGTTTTACAGTCATAATCGGTTTTATTTTCCTGCTTCAAGTTCACACGAAGTCCACGTGCTTGACCTGTCAATCAAAATTATTCGACACAGTGCAGGTGTGAAAGTCTCGTCACATCGAAGGAAACGTGTTAGTATTTCCAAGAAGTTTTAATATTTTCTCTTATCATTTCTAGATCTGATTCTAATATTTTCAAAAACAAAAATAATAAATGAATTAAATGCATTGGGAATAAACACTTGGAATGATTAAGCCGCTTGAATTTGAAACAGACTCCCTGCCAATTTAAAATATCACCGCCGGCGCATGAATATTTTGAACTACTATTGTTTAATAACTTTGTTAAGATGCATGTTTGTTTTGAGACTGAAATTTTTGTGCTACAAAACACATTAACTTCTTTTTAAATGTTAATTAAAATAAACTGGAAATATGTCAAGATAATGATAAGACAGATTTAAGACGGAAGTTTAAGATTAAAATTAATGCAGTGATAAAGCATATTTCATTGACAACTCCAGAAAGCAGTTTATTTTCTTAATAACTAAACTTAAATTTTCATTGATACTTTATTTTGCAGCTAATTTTTCTATGAAATTTTACTCTGGACCTTTTAAAAATATGACATATAATATATCCCAAATAGCTGACCTGACCTGAAAGCTCGCGAGAGCTATTCTATTCACCTTTCATTAGGACTACAACCTTCTGCCTGTTTGTAAACTTTTACATTTTAAACTGTTTTTTAGAAGGAACCTTATCTTCACTTTTCACCAAATTTGTTTAAAAAACATTCTTTTTTTAAGGTGATTAAAGGTTGCTTTTTTTCAAGTGAAAACACACACTTAAGTTCTTTTAATTTATTCTTTTAATTATTTTTTAATGTATTTAAAAATTCCTGATATGGAGTAGATTTAGGTTTGTTCAAATCAATCTCCGGGAGTAGGGTGTGGCCACAAAGTTTTACATTGGAATAGGGCAAATATTCAAAAGTCTTTGTAATGCTTAACAACGCCATAATTATGCAGTAAAAATGTTTGTAGCAATCACGCTTATTATGAATTTACGCTTATAGTGAAGTGATTTTTATACCCTATGACTTAAGAATATATTGTAAACTTAACGGATTTTACGAATTACGCTTAACGAAGCTAAAATGTCTGTCCTTGGGACTTCATTATAAGCGTATTTTACTGTATAAATATTAATATGTTTGCGTCCTCAGGTAGTGAAGATTAAAGTTTGTTGAAATCATGGCTTTCAGAGTAAGGTTGGATCACTACAGGGAGTTGAGTTTTTAGATGGGAATGTATAGGAGAAAAATCTTTATACATCTTTCTTTATTTTATTGACTGACTGTAAAATTATCGAATAATAATGTTGATCTCAAAATTGAACAGGACATCATTAACAAGATACAAGCATGAAAAATACGTGTCACGGGAGTACGGGAAAAATCAACTTTGACGTCACACGTAAGCGAAATAAGATATACCTACGTATAACATTTTCATCATCAGCCATGCAGAAATAATGTTTGTTTTCCCTGTTTTCAAAATATCTCATCATACAATGATTATGACTTTTTTTTTTTACATAATAATACTGCCAGTGTGTTCACCGAGTATGATAAGGTTGTACAAACAGATCGAGTATGATGTCACCGACTTGTTGGACGCGCTTTGTAGGGAAACAGAGGAGTGGAACAACATATTTGATAATTTGTTAATTTTTACAAAAATTTTAAAACTTGTATTATTTTTATACAAGATGTTAATTAAAGTAAAAGAAATTGTTAAAAATTTATACAAGAACTGATGGTTTACACGTTTTGCGCTTATATAAACAAAGATTATGATGTAGTTAAACAGAGTAATGTGACCATGTATCAGTCATCCCCTTAACTGAGAACTGTGGCCAATGGGCTTTCTGTTTAAGATAATGATGATAAAAAGAAAAAGATATAGAGGATATTCAATGTTTTGTAGATGAATATGGAATTTCTTTCACGAGTTTACAGGATTTTTTTTATATTTTCAAGAGTGCGAAGCACGAGTGAAAATATCAAAAAATCCTGTCCCACGAGTGAAATAAATTTCATATTCATCTACAAAACATTGAATTTTCTGTTTATTACATTTTCTTTGATTTTCCCTTTGCCTCTGTCTTTCTTAACACAGTGTTATAGGCTTGACGTCATAGTTGAGTGGTTGAGACGTCATAGCTTAGCAGTTGTGAGATTGGAAACATTACATAGCATGGAATTTAGCAACATATCTGGGAAGAATTTTGCAGTTTTAGCTCTATCAAGATGGTTAGTTATTATCTCTATCTTATGCCAGGCCAGAAATTATTTTTTACTTACTTTGATATCCTTTCACACTGTGAGAGAATATCATTTTGGTATCCTTTCACACTGTGAGAGAATATCACTTTTATTCAATAAATAAATCACAGTATTTCACTGTTGAAAATGTAATAAAATGATTTTTTTAATGATTCAAAAATAATTCTGCATTTTGTCATAAATAATTGCAATGAAAATAATTTGGATAAAAAACAATTTGAATTTCATAGTTATAACTACATGTAGTTAATTCATAGCAAACTATTGAAAAACAAGTTGATGATCGTGAATATCAACAATCTTTTAAGTCATCATTTTAGAAGTTCTATGGTCGATACAATGACTTTGTCGGCAAAAAAAAAAAAAAATCTAAAACAATCTATCTTTTCTCAGTTTGAATTTATGAGAAATATTTTAGTGGTGAATGCCTGTTTCCCTTTGTTCATACTAAATGTGTTTATTCGTTAGAGAGTATTTTAAAAAATGTAACTTGAAATGTTTTATCAGCTAATGTAGCAAAATCACTCTTGTTTGAACTTTGAGTTCAATTATCAATTTAATAACCGCATAATTTGGAAAATGCCATTTTTAAAAATGATTGCTTGAATATGTGCTGCTTTATGTCACATTTGAGAATTGTTTTGTCATATAAAGGCGTCCCCATATTGCGATAAAGGGCTTCAAATTAAGACTTATACTCGGCTTTTAAGGTCATTGAGCAGTGAGGATTATTTTTTATCCCGCGAACGCCTACCCTGGCATAGGACTCAAGTTTCTAAGGTCTCACCAGAAAGATTTTTAACTTCTAATACCGGGCACTGGGCGAAAGAACAGACACTAACAATTTTTACATCTTCGGTTTGACGCCGCGCGGAGGATGAGAGTCGAACTGGAGCCTCCCAATTATGAAGCGGACGCATTTCAATTGAAAAAATATGTTAAGAAATTAAATGGAAAAGTATAACATATATTTGCTAAAATCGTTCGAACCATTATGTGTATATGATATTGAAAAATGCTATTAAGCTTTCATTATGGGGCATTTTCAATATGAATTGGGTAATCTTATTATGTTGTAGATTAATATACTTCAATATTCATTTAGACTGCAGATGCATTATACGACACGATTCTAGACATACTACAGGACAATAAAAGTCTTAAAGCACACTTGAACAGAGAGAGATGCTTCATTCTTGGTCTTCCAAAGAAGGAAATTCCTTTCCAGGACTCGCTTTTAGACCTTGAGAAATGCATTGTGTCAATTGCAAAAGAGAAGAGATGGAAGGAAACTATTCCAACTGATTGGGCACTCTGCGAGATTGTCTTAAGAGAAATCAAACGAAAGAATGAACGTTTTGAAGCTGACATTAGAATTATGGATGTAAACGAATGTGCAATAAAGTGCTTCGGTTCCAATAAAGAAAAAAACTCGCAAATTAGAGATGTTTTGAAACTTTTTCATGACATCGGGATGATACTCCATATTAATGAAAAACATCTTTCGGATATTGTAATCATCGACATCCAGTGGTTTGTTGATTCTTTCAAAAATATAATCACAGACCCAAACCAAGTAAGAGATATTGCAGAGAACCGTACCCAATGGCGTGATTTCAACCAGAACGGGAATCTTTCTGATATACTTTTGACAAGCATTTGGAGAAGTAAAAAATTTAAAATAAATATACACCCACCTGATACAAAAAGATATCTTCTGCATTACATGCAGCGCCTAGGCCTGATAGCTGTGGGTAACGAAACCCACTACATACCGAGTGTAAACAAACGTACATTTGATGCTGCTGCTGAATTTTCACACTGTCAGAGTAAAACGTCGGTGCTTGTCTATAGATTCGAGTTTTTACCGTACTTCTTTTACTTTCGACTTATTGTTGCCTGTTTAACAGGAACCAGTGGAGAATGGGAAGTTTTGGAGGACAATGGTTTATGCTTGTTTAAAGACATAGCCTGTTTTTCTTACAGACAACACAGTGTAGCGCTTGCAGTAAATAAATACTCCATACAACTTCAGGTTTTTAAACCTTCCAATGATTCCCTCACAAAAGAAGTCATATTAGAAGTACGTGATACTATTGACCGGTTGCTGAATGATCTCACAAAAACTTTTCATAGGAAGATCATGTTTACTGTTGGATTCCAATGTTCAAAACAAGAAGTGTTCAGTGATCTTGATGGATGTTTTGTCGCCGAAATTGAACTTACAGGAAAAGGAAATATAACTTGTCCTAGACATCAAATGAAAAATCACCATATTCTCCGTGAATCAGATCTTCTTGGATACTGGAAGCCGGTAAAGTATAACTTACATAAAACTTTTCATCCAGTGTACATGATTTTTTTCTTCAGAAATGTAAATTATATTCACCGTTTGTTATCTTCACCACTTTAAACTTTTCAGCTCATCTAGACGATTTCTTTCTCTAGAAATGCAAAATATATTTACTTTTCGTTATCTTCTCCCCTTTCATTTAAATTTTTTATCACAATTTTTAACTTAAATGTTTTTAAATACAATTCAGGATGCTGAAATTGAAAAGCCAGGTCTGTACTTTTTATTAGTTTTTTCCTTTTGCTTAATTTCAAATTGTTTGCTTGTGTCCAGGATCTCATGCAAATTTACACAGAACTGTAAAATATTTAAAAAGAAATGAAAAATGGAATTCAATTTTCATTTAGTATTGAATGCACAGTCGTTATACATCCAATTTTATTTTCGTTTTTATTGAAAAAGTTGATCTGAAACTAGAAAAAAAAAATATCCTTTTAAATTTATCTATCACCAAACTATTTTTACACTGGAAATACAAAAGCTGTTATTACAAACAGCTTTTATGCAAAATTGTTCATGTTTCTGAAACCAATACATATTAATTTGGAAAAATATATGCAAGTAATATTTGACTTCTTTTCTAATACCCAGTTCTGATTCATAAAGTTTTATTTCTGTGTTTAATGCAGTGAAAACAATCATTTTACACAGAAATATTTGCATCAATGCGGATATGCTAAGTGTTTAACTCAGCAATATTGGAATTTGTCAATGACATACTCGATGTTATAGCTCAAAAGATATGACTGCCAGAGCATTTGATCAGAAACAGAGTTTCATATGACATGTTAATTTGTTTAATTGTTGTAGTGGCATCTACTATTCGGTATCAATATATATATATCACATATTCCTTAGTCGATCTTGGTGTATATTAATTGTCGTCTACCTCAAACATTTTTCACTGTCGCCAATTTTATATTAAATTTAAGTATTTTAAGTCAACTATTTTTAGTTTCTGTTTCCACTGGAGACCAGTTTTCTCAACTTTATGAAGAAGGACTTAAAAAATTCCATTTCAAGACATTTGAAAAGCTTACAAGAGTTGGATGGGAAGCTCTGCAGATTTATTTTGATACGATATTCCCAAAACAGTTGCTCATCAAAATTCGAACGTCAGCAAAACAAGACAAAGTAAAGAAAATATTTCGTCTCAGTGATGATCAGTGTGCTCGTTTGTTCCCAGGTAACTATCTTATGCTATACCAATTTGATGCCTCCATTACAATGAAGCATTACTGTTTGTCATTTTCACTGATTTCATTTTTTCATGAAAGTGAACGGTGATTTTCTGGTGTGTGAATAAGGATGTCTTACGTGAAATATGGAGATAACAAACAGCATTCATGCTCAAAGTCCATTTAAACAATATAAATCGGAAGCAGAGCAAACATGGACCTCTTAAACATCAGAGATGGGATCAGGTGCCATGAAGGAGTGAGTAAGCATCACCTGCTTACCGGTCACTCCCGCTGTGTGCTTTTTGTCATGATCGAAAAAAACGGAGGAATCCGTCGACAATTCTGTTTGTAAATTATGGCATTACAATTAGTTTGAAAAACGCCAATCAGCATTTGGCTTCATGATGAGTTGTATTTGCTGACAAGGTCATTGTATCGACCAAAAACCTGAGAAATGATGACTCCAAACTAGACGGTCGATATCCTTGTTTCCTAAGCTTGTTTGTCAATAGCTTGCCTCATTTTAGAAATTGTTCATACGTGGAGCATGGTCTTGCGTATCGAATCAATTGAGAGACATAAACCCCATATGCAGGTGATAAGAGTATATTGCTGCATAAGTACCCTTACAATTGAAAAATTTAAGTCATCACGTTTATCTTAAAGCTTGGTTCTTAGATTACCGTTAATGTCCTTTTCTAGTAAAATATCCGAATATGAAACAGATGTGCCAGACTCTGTGGTATCTTTTATTTCAAGCTCATTTAGATATATCGAGTCGACATATGAATGGAAGAACTATTGTTAATTGATAATACCTCGTCGATATATCGAAATGTCGAGTTGAAGGCCACAGCAAGTGTTTTCTTCTTGTCATGTACAAGCCTTTGAATATATTCTCTTTAATATGAATACAAAAAAGGTCTTCTAATAATGAGACAATTGGTACCCATGGGAATACCAACAGCTTGTTGGAAGATCTGATCTCCACAAAATACATAGATATTGTCAATCAGAAACTCGAACATCTTTTTAATATCAACTTCAAAGTACCTGTGTGTACGATCAGAATGTTTTTACTAAAATAATTTTGCAAATGTCCAATGACAAGGTAAGTATATCAACGAGTTCCATTTTTATTTTCAAAAAAGCACTTGTCTATGATGCAAAAATACCTGGACTTTAATTTATCGTGGGGAAATGTTGTATAAAGTGTAGAAAAGTCGTACATTTTGATGTTATTGTTTTTGGTAAAATCTCGTGATTTCAAAATTTCTAAAAGTTCCTTGGAGTTTTTAAGTATCCACATCTGATTTACACCAATTCTCAAATAAACTGTTATACAGTACTCCTGAAGCTTTGCCTTTACTGTTGTAAATAATTTAGTGAGGAATTAAGAAAGAGGTAGAACATTTACTGGAACCCGCTATGTATCTTTGTAAGGATTTTTATGGAGATTTGGAATCCAGTATAGGTATGGTAATTAAAATTAATTTTGATTGTTGGGAATATTAAAAATATTTTAAACTGACATATGGTTCTGAAGAGTTTCCTCCTTAGAAAAAGAAGCTATGGTTATAAGTTGGCTTATCACTCGCAGAATTAAATTCTAGTTTCTCTAAAATGCAATTCATATACTTAGCCTTACAAACAAATACAATATTGTTACTTGCTATGTTTATGGGATCTAGTGCATACTGATCATGTAATCTAATTCTTGTTTAACTTCTGCATTGTCGATGACAGAAGGATAGAAGATTTTCATATTGGCCCTCGATCGCTTAATACGAGATTTCAACAGCCATCTAATATTTTTAATCTATTCTGACAAAGTCTAAGATCTTTTTTATGTTTGGCTCTTTTTTTTTTTTAAAGAAATCATAATATTTATAAAAGTTTGACGCCAGTTAAAAGATCGGGTTTCCCTAAACTTTGGCCGTCTTAAAAATTAATTTGATTTAAGGTCCTCAGTATTTATTATATTTACGTCACCAGTAATGAAGTGTCCAGCAGGACTATAGTTGTAAGGTGAAGAAGAACATGAACATGTTGGAGGATTATGTTTCATATGCTCTATATCTAGGCACTGTAAAGGTTTTTTTTAAGTTAAAAAGTTTGGGAGCAATTGTCGATGTGTATTAAGTAACCGAGCTACCGCAGAAATGTAAGTACATTCACCATTTTAATGAGTTTTGAATATACCTTGCCTTTTTGTAAAAGTATAATTGTTCATAGAACTTTTAGGATACTGTAGTACTCCACATTTTCGCAACAACTTATTTTCGCGAGTTATACATTTGGTATTAATGAGCGGGACAAAATTTTCACAAATCCTAGTTTTTGCTATATATATCCAATGCTAATAAAATATACGCGAGAAGAAAATTTTCGTGAGCATACGGTCTCACGTAATTATACGAAAATAAAGTTGTCGACAAAAGTGACTTAAAGTAAATTATTAAAGCGGCATTCTTTCATACGTATCGAGTAAATCAATTACTTCGAAATGTTACCCTGATGAAAAACGGTTCAATTCCCTTTAACATATTTCTTCAGTTTAGAGTAAAATTAAAAAATTAAAGGAGACTTACCTGTAAGGTAAACTCTAATTAGAATTTTCCGGAGCACCAAGGAACGTTGGGTATTACGAGAGATATGCAAGCCTACTCCCAGATTGGTATTTAACTCAATATATGAATATTCTTGAATTAAAATAAAAAGCAATTTAAAAATGTAAAGTTTTGATTTATTTATATAAATCACCCTTGGTCCCATGGGAGGGAGATCAAGGGTGGGCACGTAATACCCAACGTTCCTTGGTGCTTTGGAGAATTCTAATAAAATTTACTTTGTGTACTAATTTAGTCTTCACATTTTGTGTAGATGACAAATCAGACCCATCATCTTCCTCGTTTGATGTGACGATGATGTATCAGATGCTGCGTAATCGCAATCCTAGTCTTCCATCACCCACTAAAGGATGGGGGAGGACTCCTAGTGAAAACCATATAACCCAGACCGATGACGTGGAAAGAATCCGGATGTACAGAAACCAAGTAGTCCATGAACCTGATGCAACAAGAAAATTAAATAAAAAGGATCTCGAGAAAAAAGGACGAGATTTGGCTCAGGTGACATTTTCATCCACTCGTGTCATTCCGAAAAACCAGAATACCACAAAAATCAATGCTTGAGAAAAAACTGTTGAAAGAAAGAAAAAAAATATATTTTTACCCTATCTTTTATACCAGGGGTAATTCCTTATCAATAGATTATTTTAATGGAGTAATGAAATTCAGAAAGTAATCAAACAATGCTTTGAATGGAAACAAAAATGAGAGAATGTTCTTCTATTGGAGGAGTATCGGATGAGTGAAATGTTTAATTTGAGAACAGTCTCCCGCGTGGCGAAGTGGTTAGAGTCGTTAGTACTGCTCTAGAGTCGCGAAGTAAGGAGTTGATCCTTAGGTCGCAGTTTCGAATCCCACTGTGGGACGTGGAGACCGGTCCTTCGGATGAGATCGTATAAACCAAGGTTACATGTCGCAGTAGGTGCTTGCACGAAAAAGATCTCCCACTGCTCAATGGCCGTAAGTGCCGTGTATAGGACAAAATTTGCAGCTCTCCACCGGCAAGTGGTGGCGTCTCCATATGAGTGAAAAATTCTCGAGAGGGACGTTAAACAACATACAAACAAAATTTGAGAATATATATCTCTGCTGATATTATTGATGGACACTGTAGTGATCAACTAACATTAGTAACTGTTTAAAGCACGAAATTTCAAAAAATATAAAACACATAAACTTTGCCTGATATCTTCTGAATTTTTATATATTGTTATGAAATTAAGTTATTTCTTTCACTCTGTTAAAATATGTACAACACACAGAAAGAATTTATTTTCAACGTAAATTACAGAAAACATTGGTTTTGTGAATTTGAATTAACTTGAATTATAAACTTAGTTTGTTTCGTCATCTTAACATTCTTTTTTCTTGGTACCCATACTTTGAATTTCATTTTGAGAGGACACAAAATTTTATTTTTTAACAACTATTTCATTACGTTTTTTCTTCCTTTTTCTATTTTAATCTTTTGTTTAAAGTTGTGAACGAATTTGTAAACTAAAACAAAATTTTAATTATGTTATTTTTTCTTATATGAAATCCATAAAGTTATTTTGTAGGCAATACTGAGGTTGAGTAATGGAACTCTACAAAGTGAGATCATAAAGGTGATGGAACATACAAAATAAGTAAGTAATCAACTTTTTGTCACGTAATACTACACGCCAAGACATTCAGCTGATAAAAAATTCTAGGGAATGAGAATTAAGTATTTTCTTTGAGAAAATGACAATGTAGTAAAAGCTAAGTAAAAGGAAATATATATGAACACCAATGCTTTACAAATTACGTAGATGACATTATAAACTCTGGCAAAATGTATACAATATATATAAAATCTCTGATGATCAATATATATGTGATGTTTATTCAGAATATAACTTTGGTCAATACATCCCATCAGTTTACAAAAATAGCACATAACAACATATATTACAAAAATGATGACTCTCAATGAGCCTAAATTAGGGGGTGAAACCCCTGGTCAAGTGTTCCTCTGTCCAACAGTTCCACTCGTTTATAGTATCAAAAACTAATGTGATATTGGATAAAGCAGTACAATACATAATTCAAAGTTATAGTACAATACGCCGTGTACAACGCTCATTCTACATTAAGGAATAATGCTACACAAAAATTTCATATAACAGATTTTTAAAAAAACTTCTCTATTGAAATATGGTTTCAGCCTGCCAAGATTTCTATTAAACTGTCTCTTAACAACTTTAAATGAATTTTTGTATTATAAAAAGAAATGACACAAAATACATGCATTTGAATGTTATGCCACAGCGCTTACTTTAAAGACACATACATTGTTTCAAGGATATGCCAATTTTACTTTATTTGTTCAGATGACTCAATGTCAAATACAAATTCTTATTTATTTATCATTTTCAGGCCTCAAATAAGCTCTTTCATTAAAAAGGATAAATCAACAAGATTTCGGAGACCTAGCTTGAGATTAAAAGCAAGATAATGTTACAGGGAGCCGAATAACAAAAAGCAAATTTTGAACTGAAGCAGCTCTGATGACGCACCTTGTGACTAAGCTTAACATTATGACCATATTAAATGAATGTTATCGACAGGATGTAATACCAAATTATAAATATTACTCTAGTAAAAGTGTTTATCATTCATTTAAAATTACTAAGGGATTGAAATTATTTACTTTTAGGAATTGGAGTAGTTGATTTATACATGTATATCTCAATATCTGGATTTTCCTGCAGTTTCTTTTTTAAAATCATTTTCTTGTTTCATATTTTAGAGATTATTTAAAGAAGTTGTTAAACTTTTTTTTAATTAATTTACTCTCCGCATGACGTTAAGATAGTAAATCGAGTGAATAGCGAGCTTGAAATTATTTTAACTTGCCATACAAATTATGAAATTTCCATTTTCATTAGTTTTGTGAGATAGATATACATGTAAAGCTTAAATGGAAAATTTTTGCATCTGTTTTATTTTGTCAACAATCAAATTATATTGTACAGTAGTGTAATAAATCCTGTTTTTTTTTTAATGATACAACTTCTGTGTTTATTTATCTCAAAGCACTTTAGATGCTTGACAGGGTTTATGTGTGTACATACTGTATTTGATTCATATTGTTCAGCCTCCGTATATTTTAAAAAAACCATCTTTCATCATAATATTGTGAAAAAAACTGCTGCATTCAACTAAAAAAACTTGCAAAAATTTGTTTTTGCAATTTATTTGTCATTGGAACACATATATCTAATTAATTGATTATAGTGTGTGCTATGCAATCTAATATTGTTGTCTTTACAGTAAAACACGCTTATTATGAAGTGCCAGGGATGGATGATTTTGCTTAATAAAAAGCTCATTCAAAATGTATATAAATGAACATCATTTTGCTCTAAGTTCATTATAAGCGTGTTTGCTATAATAGTGTGTTACTGTATTTAGTACTTATGTATGACGAATTAAAGGAATTCAATCCCTTAATCCACTCAGCACCTATATATGCTAACCTGTATATTAATGGACACATATAATCAATTATTAAAGACAGTTATTCCTTGTCCAACCAATCAAATACCAATAAAAACACAATACCTTTGATTGCACCTATAACCAATTTATGCATTGTTCAGAATTAAATACATGTAAAAGTAGATTATGTTACTTGTATATCAGAAAATGCCACGATAGTCAGAAATTTATGTAACTACATTTATAAGATGTGTGGTAGCCAGGCTTACTCCAGGCTGACAGGGCTTACTCCCTACAACATTTTATGTGTCATTCAAAGCAAAAAGTAGCATGCTTGTTGACAACAATCATGCTGCGTACGCATCAACACATCATATTGTCCATATGAAACACATATTGCATGTATTTTATCAACATCAAGCTAGCCTCAACTAGTTATAAGTCACGATTTGGCTTCACAAACCTTCAGGATGACCACTTCTGTGACGAGATGTGTATCTGAAGATTTCTATTATGCAGATACCTTATGGCATCTGAAAGTATAAAACTCAAACATATTTTTAAGAAATACTTCATAAATCAAATAAAGAAAAGTTGGGGTTGGATGGAGGGGGGTATTTTAATTTTTTGGCACTAAAATTCAGAGCATTCTAATACTTTCATCCATTGAATGAAATAGGTTCTTTTATAGCGATGCATGAGCTTGAGATAAAAGATACCACAGAGTCTGACATATTTGTATCATATTTGGATATTTTACTTGAAAAAGACGTAATGGTAATCTAACAACCAAGCATAATGATAAACGTGATGACTTTAACTTTTTAATCGCCAACTTCCCTCACTTATGCAGCTATATACCTTAATCATCTGCATATGGGTTTTATATCTCTCAGTTGATTCGATACTCAAGAGCATGCTCTACGTATGTACAATTTCTAAATTATTGAGAAACAAGTTGATGAAACAAGAATATCAGCTGTCTCGTTTACAGTCATCATTTCATAAGTTCTATGGTCGATACAATGACCTTGTCAGCAAATACAATTTATCATTGAGTCAAATGCTGACTGGCGTTTTTCATACTAATTATTAGGCCATTATTCACACACTGAATTGTCGACGGATTTCCCGTTATTTCCCGATCATGACAAGGATCACACGGCCGTCGTGACCGGTCGGCAGGGGATGCTCACTCCTCCATGGCACCTGATACCACCTCTGATGTTTTGGAGGTCCGTGTTTGCTCTGCTCCTATTTTGTATTGTTTAATGGACTTTTGAGCTTGAATACTGTTCGTTATAATTATCTCCATATATTTCATGCTCATATATTCTTGAAATAAAAATTTCAGATTACGCCACAGGCTGATGCACAAAACTTTTAGTAGAATAAACTAAGTTTTAGAGTTATATAGTACATAAAATCATTACTAACATGTTATCATTTTAACTTCATTATATCTTTATGAGGCGAAAAGCTTTGATAACAGCTCATATTTGCATGTACAAACATGCTGAAATATTTGCATTCATCAATTATTTATAACATTAATTCATTGATTATTCTTTTGAACTAAAACACATGTCAGAAATATTGTTTATTGTATGGCAAATATGGCCAAAGTGGTCAGAAGTAATGCATTTAAAACCATCACCTGTGGAATTACCGAACAACAGGGTTCCCCAACAACATTTTATGTGTGGTCCAAAACGTCAAGCTACATGGTAGTTTGATCGATAACAGTCAAACTACTGACACATCAACATATCCTGTCCATTTAACTCTTTACTTCAATTTGTCTTTATGAAAGTCATATTATTAAAACAACATCAACATATCAACAGTCAACATCATGATTCCACAGCCAACTTAAAGATGATGATATGGCTATTAGGGTACCCGATGAGTGTCCCCGTGCAGCTATTCAATTAGGTTTCTTACTGCAAGTTGGTGGGGTTGGAACCTTTAATATAAATATATCCCAGTATTCGTATATATGGCTCACGGTGGATGTGACAGGTCAACAGGGGATGCTTACTTCTCCCAGGTACCTGATCCCCCTGTGTAATTTCCAGGGGTCTATATTTTATGCCCTGCTCACAAATCTGTTTTTTTTTTTTTTTGATCTTGAACTTTCCCCCAAAATATGTATTTTTCCCCTTATAATCTACCCGCATTTTATTTACAAAGATTTTAAGTATCAATATATCTGTTTATTTAAAGTTTTATTCTTTCAAAAATTCTGTGAAGACAATATCATACATTTTAGATCCTTTTTTTCTATATGTTCACAGAAGAAGACTTATGAAAAACCCTAAACTCTGTTATAAGCAAGTCCTGTGGACCTGTGAAATTACTTAGGTTTATCCATAATTCATGATATCCGTAAAACAAATTTGTTAAAGTATATAAAGATTATTTGAGATAAACATGTTTTCCTTTAAGTACTAGTATGGCTACTTATGTTCAGAGAAGTATAAAATACAAATTTTTCCTTCAAGTTCTAAAAGTTTTCTGATGATTTTAATTTCAATTGGAAAAACTCGAAATCAATGGATAATAATGTAATTAAAATTTTGAGATCTGAAATATTTTTCTTATTTCTTTAACGCTACAGTATGTGCTATCTATTTTCTATCATAAATCCGTTCTATAATCCAAAAAATATACAAAAAAAATGTTGAAAAATTCGCCAAATAAATTATTAGTGTATAAATCACAGACTTGCACGTAAGCATATTTTTCATGAAGCGCTAGCGCGTTTCATGAAATATGCCTACGTGACAAATCTGTGTGATTTACACACCAATAACTCACACAAAACTTAAAAACATCCCTTAGTTGCATATTGTGTCAAATATGAGCGCCCTATCATATGTCATTCAAAAGTAAAAATTTTTGAAAATTAGGTCAAACTTCAGGATCAAGGTCACAGGGTCAAAATTCATGGTATTTTTGGAAAGGTCTTGTCATAAGTAATGCACATGTGAAACTTGAAAGCCCTATCTCTTCTTGAAAAAATATTTCCAAGATTAAAGTTTTTGTGATAGACGGACAGATTGACAGACGAATGAGACTCTTGAGTGAGTATGAGATAAAAGATACCACAGAGTCTGACACATCTGTTTCATATTTGGATATTTTACTTGAAAAAGACGTTAATAGTAACCTAACAACCAAGTTTTATGATAAACGTGATGACTTTAACTTTTCAATCTTCAACTTCCCTTACTTATGCAGCAATATACATGTACCTTCATCACCTGCATACGGGGTATATATCTCCTCAGTTGATTCGATACGCAAGAGCATGCTCTACGTATGTACAATTTCTAAAACGAGGTAAATTATTGACAAACAAGTTAATGAAACAAGAATATCAGCTGTCTCGTTTAAAGTCATCATTTCGTAAGTTCTATGGTCGATACAATGACCTTGTCAACAAATACAATTTATCATTGAGTCAAATGCTGACTGGCGTTTTTCATACTAATTATTAGGCCATTATTCACACACTGAATTGTCGACGGATTTCCCGTTATTTCCCGATCATGACAAGGAGCACATGGCGGATGTGACTGGTCGGCAGGGGATGCTCACTTCTCCATGGCACCTGACCCCACCTCTGATGTTTGGAGGTTCGTGTTTGTTCTGTTCCTATTTTGTATTATTTAATGGACTTTTGAGCTTGAATACTGTTCGTTATCTCCATATATTTCACTTAATCTCCCTTGCTTTCGCAAAGTGGGGAACAATAATGGCATCCCAACCACAAAGACAGCAAAAGTGGGGACCACAATTATTTGAATTTGCTTATTGTCTTTTTTGACCTATTGGTTTTTGAGGATTTATTAAAGATTTCATTAAATGTTCACTAAGTCTTAATTACCTCCCCCAAGAAGAGGGCATGACCCTTTATTTTAACAAACTTGAATTCCCTTCACCCAAGATTTTTTTGTGGCAAGTTTGGTTGAAATTGGCTCGGTGGTTCTTGAAAAGAAGATGAAAATGAGATTTTAAAGTAGTTGTAAGAAAATATTTAAGTATTTTTGACTCTGGTGAGCTAAAAATCATACCATCAAATAGCCTGTTTCATGGTGCTAATCATCTTTAATACATGCCCTTGTGTCACCATAGGGATATTGGGATGATTAGTTCCATCAAGGTAAAATATACACTCAGAGAGTAACCCTTTAAAGAACTATTATATGAAAGCTGGAGGGTAATAAGAGGATTTAATTTTAATTAAACCATAGATATAGCATCACCCAATTATTTAATATTTTATTGATATTACATATTGTACAAATATGTGAATCATAAATGTATACATTAAATACATTCAAAAATATACATTTACATAATGTACATATTTACAAATATTTTTTGATAATCACATTTCATATGTCTTGAGAAAAAATTGAAAAAAAGAATGTCATGTAACAATAAATAATAAAGCATTTGTTGATTCATCATCACAATGTCAAGTTTTGTGATTCCGGAACTCCACACAAACCCTTGACATAAGTCGTCGTTTAAAAGTTGGGCTAGAAAGCTACTATTTCATTTGTTCCTGGTCTAAGGCTGGAACCAATCTGAAGACAGCTTTCGTTGTAGGTAAGTTTTGTAAACAAATATGACCCGTCTTTAAAATGGAAAGTGTCAATATTGTAGGATTTTTGATTAGTTACTTTAAATGAAACATCGGGGATTAATTTTTTGAAGATCGTTATCCTTACAATCATAAAAGATATGCTCTGGAGTTGGGCAATTTGATTACAACGGATTTGAAAAATATATTCTCATTGGTTAGTATATAATAACCCATTACGTCTTGCGTAACCACAAGTCCAACTTTTAAATAGCGACTTATGTCAAGGGTTTGTTTGGAGTTCCGAAATCAGAAAACCTTGACATTGTGAGGATGTTGATTTTATGAAAGCTTTTTATGTATTAACAATAACACAATATTAGATAAATAAATAATAGTTCTGGATTCGTGGAAGAAAGTCCACTAGAGTTCAGTTGAGCAGAAAATCGTGTCTTAACTTTCATTGCAATGAATTCATTAACAATTCTTCATCTATATTAAAGGGACAAATTCGTACATTGCTAATCCTGATAATATAAACTTATAAATCTGCAGAGCAGTCCTAGTTGAAATTTTGTTTATAAAATTTCTTTTCTGTCTTTTCTAACTAAAAAGTTGTAAGGCCTTGGGTATTATATTCTACTTCTGTCATCTTCCAGTATATCAGCGTTTCTTAAAGGACTTTTCGCATGATCTTTCAAAAATCTTAATTTTATGAAAAATATTATCTGAAACCTTGTTTATTTAAATACTAGATACAATAGAGGTTATTAAAAGCATATTTTAAGAGATATTGAAAGTTGAAATTCAAATACAGCAATATGCATATTTCAGTCGGATTTCGGCTAAATACTGCTCTGACGTCATAGGCGACAATTCAGTAATAGAGAGATGAGAATATGCACACTATTAAAGGAGTTATAAACGACAAATTCAGCTTAATTACGAAAAAATCCGGCAAAAATTAATTCCTAACGTACTTTTCAATTACTATAGAAACATTTACTAGTTCTAAGGTATGAGACGTTTGAGATATTTTCGTATTTTATTCCAAACATTTAGAATCTGTAGCTCTGATCACGGCCATATTTTTCGTGATCGGAAACTTATTTTTTTCAAGACTGCCATCCTGTACAAAACATATGAAGGCATACTTGCATAAATTAATATTATGTTAAAAATGAAGAATAACAAAATTATATAATGTTAAATTTGTGAATCAAATAAGTTAATATATGTGATAAAATGACAAATCAAATTGTATTATGATGGCGAGTTTCTTCGTCTTCGCCGTGTCTCCCTCGCTAACGTCACTGCTATTTTTACAATGTTAAAGCTTTTTCAGATTTTTTCTTGCTGACAATTCTAACGTATAAGGTTGGATATTCAATTTCATATCGATAAAATAAGTGATTTTGAAATTAAAATATATAGACAAATTCTCCTCAAAAACCACTGGGCCAGAAAAGCTGAAACGTACGTGGAAGCATCCTGGGATAGAGTAGATTTTAAATTGCGAGGTTAGGATAAGGCTGTCCGTAAAATATAAAATAGTTGCAACTGTAGTAACTTCTCTGAACTACCTAGATATGACGTCAAGTCACTGATCACTTGAGCTGACATGACGGGGAAAGTGTCATAACTTTTACATTCCTTTCGCATGACATGTAGAGATTTTTTAGCGCTACTGTTTGATTTAAATGTCTGGATTGTTCTTTAAGCTTACGTGTGCTGTTATGATGTTGAACATTTGCAATTTAATATCGTTATTCCATTAACTTTCCCGATATAAATATATTCAAACATAAGGAAAAAAGTGACTGTGAAAGGCTACCCCTTACTCGTCCGTGGACAGAGTTAGAATTTATAAATCGTGTATATATTTGACTTGCACAAGTGATCAATAAGGATAAATTGAAGATATTCTGGGTGAATCTACTAGTGAAGAATGTCCTAACTGAATTTTGCTGGGGAATTGTATATAATATATCCTATTTTGTATAAATTGCAATAAAGAGTGGAAAAAGCCCCCTTGTATGTGCGCAATTTGAATTACTTGTGGAATATTTTCTCAAGAAGTAAAATTCAAACCTGACCCCAGCACTTAATATGTACCAAAGATCACGATGAATTGACTTATGTGACAAATTATTCTCAACAATGTTGTTTTGCACTTGTGCCGATGCGATTTTTTTGCAACATTTAGAAATTTATAAGTGTCCGTCACTTGATCAACAGTCATGTGACATCACAAACATGCATTATTACAATACTTGATTACACTCTCATCACAAGTTGACTGCAAATTTATACATAGATTACAAATTGAAATCAAAATCTAGCCCAAAATTAAATGTATATTTTAATGCATATTAAGCCTTCGGACAGCCTTAACACAGCTGCGTGTTCAAGTCATGACCCCCGTGGGTAGGGCGGGACCATAATAGGGAATCCAAGTTTCACATTTAAATATTTAGGAAAAATCTTTGAAAATCTTCTCAAGAACCAGTGGGACAGAAAAGTGGAAACTTAAGTGGAAGCATCCTGGGGTAGTGTAGGTTCTAAATTGCTCAACTCATGACTTCTGTGGGTAGGGTTGGGCTACAATTAGGTATTCAAGTTGTACGTTGAAATATATATGAAAAATTTTAAAAACATTCTTCCCAAGAACCACTGGGCCAGAAAAGCTGAAACTAATGTGGAAACATCCTGAGGTAGTGAGATTCGTAATTGTTTAAATCATGGCCCCCGGAGGTAAGGCGGGGCCACAACTGGAAATCAGTTTTACATTAAAATAAACAGGAAAATTCTTTAAAATTCTTCTTGTCAAGAACCACTGGGTCAGAAAAGCTTAAACTTATGTGGAAACATCCTTGGGTAGCATAGATTCTAAATTGTTCAAATCATGACCCTCGGCGATAGGGTGGGGCCATAGCAGGTATAACAATGGGAAAATCTTGTGAAGAGCAGCAGGGCCAAAGTTACTCAGGTGAGTGTTGTGGCCCACGGGCCTTTTATTACATATTTCTGGACGTATCTTGAATAAAATCTGCCCTGTACATATATTACAATTTAAAGTTGAGTGTACATTTCAGTAGAAATTGTAACATTACAACTGTTACAGTTAACATCTTAGACATTTTAAACAGACACCGGTACTTTTCTCTCATGACAATTTGATTTTTGAAGGAAAAACTCAATTAACTTTGTTAATATAGATGAAACACCATACCCTGAATATCAATTAAAAAACTATTGAAATGTTTATAACAGAATGCAAAATTAAATGTTTAACATCATACATAAATGTCTTAATTATTTTAATTATTATCAAAATACAAAATTGTCACATTAGTTGTAAAGTTGCATATAGCAATAAAAAAAAAAAATAATCATGTCCTCAATTATTTATCACTCCTATCTCAGTGAAAATTAAATTTCAGCACACATTGTTTACATGTATTTGATTTTCTTCACTTTACCACTGTATAACTCAGCCACAAAGAGGCTATCTCTATTGTCTACACATATACCCCATGGACGCCGTAGATCACTGTATTCAATGTAACGGAGGAACTGTCCGTCCTGATCTAGGATGTGGATACAGTTGTTGTTAGTGTCTGATGTCAGGATCTGACTCTGGCTGTCTGTTGTGATGCCCCCTGGTTTAAATGATCCCTGGTTATAAAAGAAATGATAGAATAATTTCTTGGTTGCAGAGGGATGACCATTGTATCTAAATCGGAGTTTTCCTGCCTGATTAACCACCACTACTGCACTGGCTCCATCGTCAGCCACACAGATATCCAGGTTCCTGTTCTCACTGATGTATGTAATGTAACCAGATGAATACAGAGGTTTACCTTCACTATCAAACTGAATGGTTTGTTTCTCTGTGGAGCCAGAGTAACAGACAATTTTTGATTGTTTATCATCACTGTGCATGGTAACCAGTAGATCACCAAAGGATGTACTACAGACATTGTAAGGTCTCCACCCCTGTAGTCTGATCACTTCCTGTATCTGTTTATTTTTCACTATGTTTACAGTTCTTGCATCAGGATCAACATAAACTAGATCTCCACTTCTTGTAACTGCTATGTCACATGGTTTAATCCCTGACTTGGTTTGGATTGACTTTAGTAGTTTGCCTTGGAGGTTATAGAGTTTCATGATTTTGGAATTTCCACATGTCCAGATTTCTTCATCACTGAGACAAGTAACACTGTATAGTTTGTTATATTCAGTGTCTATATTGGTGATCAGCTCTGGTTCATCAAGCAGTGGTTTGACTGGAGGACAGTATTCAGCTTCTGGTGTCTCCATTGTGTAGCCATGTTCTTCTGTTGTAATTGATAATGGTGAAATAGAACCAAATAATTGAGAACATTGATCTCTATCATTATTTCCAGTAAACACAGGAAACTTAAATATCAGTTTTGATGGAAGTTTGGTGAATTTTTCTGATTTTATCTTGTAGGAAAGTGATCTGTTTACTTCTTTGGATTGTAAAATGTCTTCAGTTTCAGATATAGATTGTTCAACATCAGCATCAAGTTTCTTTATGTCATTTAGATGTTTATTTAGGGCATCTCTGTGTTGGTTTCTCATCCCGTTGATTTCTTCCTTGTTTTTCTGTATAACTTTGTCAAATTCGCTGTGCAATTCTTCTCCTTGTTTTGTGACCTCTGATGTAAGTTTCTCGTATTCTCCATCTATTTCGGCTAGCTGGGTTTCTATTTCAGTAACAATATCTTCAATTTTAAAATAAACTGTTTCTTTCAGTCTTTTTCTTTCCTGTTCAATGCATTCTTTCTTTGAGTTTACTAGGTCTTGTAGACTTTTGAAATGATGTCTCTTATGTGTCTCAGAAATAACACATTTTGGACACACTTGAATGTTGCAATCTTCACAGTGCATTTCACAGTGCTCTTCAGAATGAGTTGAACATTGAGGGTATACAAGCATAGACCTTCTCAAAGCAAAAGGCACCACATCATGCCTCCTAGAAACATCGGAGATGTGTTCCACAACACAACTCTTACAGAGATTCATTGGACATAAGTTACAGTACATTTGTACAACTGTGTCTTCACAGAGGTCACAATTAAGGATGTCCTGAGCACAAAGTCTGGGGTCCATTTTTTCAGTCTTTGATATGCTGTAAAATTTATAATGAATAATCGAATCTAATTAAAAGCAGACTCTCTTGGGTTACCTTTTAGGGTAAAAGACATTGTACAAGCTCAAAAAGGTTTGCTATGATTAATGTTGTAGCTATTTCCAGTGCAACTACTTTTGTATTCTTTAAAATCTTTTTGTTTTTTTCCTACATTGCAACTATCGATATATGGGGCGTATTCCAACTATGGTGAGGGCTTGTCCCAAAACGCAGCTACATTATTCTAAATAATTGCACTCTTATTATTGCATTGTCTCACAATTGGCATTGTACATTTACACACTCAATCTGAGTACTTTCAAGGTCCAGTTACGATGGCATTGATGTTCTGCAGCAGTTTGATGTATACTTTCAGATGAAACAACATATCTCATATTCTTTTGAATAACGTCATGAATTATGCTAGAATTTATTCGGACTGATAGAATTTGCCTCGGACTGGTAGAACACATTAAGTCATCAGTCCGAATGACTGATGGAAATATTTGGTTTTCGAAAACTCTGATTAAAATATTTTTGAAGAAAAGGCATACACTTGAAATAAGTGTGTAAAAAGGGAGAATAAAATGAGATTTTTACCTGCTAAATCTCTGACATCTGTAACTGAGCGTTAAACTGTAACAATAGTTTATCAGTGGAGATAAAACAAATCATATGACGTTTTGTATCATTGTTTAAACTATCTTGTATCTTTTTACATAAACTTTGATACTGCACTGACACACTTCAACATTGTATCTGCTTTTATCATGTTTATGTTTTTGTATTTTTTAAATCTAAATTTGCAGATATAAAGGTACTTCACATTAGCTCGGTTGTTGACCTGCAATGTACTTTTTTTGCTTGCTGGGTTAGCAACATGTTGATAAGATAGTCCAAATTTATTATTTTTTTATCCTCTTTTATTTTAATTTCAAAGAGTCAAGACTTGAAAAACATATTTCAAGGATTTATTCTTGAAAGAAATATTTTAAAAAATAGAGGTCAAGTTTAATTTTTCAGACTTTGACCTCTGTAGAAAAGTTTAGAACTCTTATCTATTTACTAAACTTGGTTTTGACATGAATATAAAGGTTGAATTTGAAGTGGTATGTAACATGTATATCAGATTTAACTTTTCTGATATTAAATATATTATTGCAATAACAAAACAGTTGCAAATGCATCCTCATGATTTATTACTTCTCAATAAACAAATTAATAACTCTGCAAACATTTCATAGAATATTCCTATTTGTTGAATTTGTGATTGGTAGATATTATTGCACCTGAGCAATTTTTATATTTAGTTTAGTTGTGTTTATGTTATATACGTTATAATGAAAAATGAATACCTTTACTACATGAAATTAATACAATTTAGATATAGGTATCCCTTGCTAGAGAGATACATTTGGTAATGTGAAAATCTGGCAGTGGAGATTAAATTCAAAAAAAGTATATGGTATCACTATTTCAAAAAAAAAAAAAAGAATAACGCAGCTATGTTAAGGCTTCCCGAAGCTTTAAAATGCGCTCAAAACATAATACGTCATTGCGAGGTCGGTTTTGGTTTTAATTTATAAGTATTGAACTTTAGTACTTCCAATTTATATAAAGGGTTTCCTCGGCTATATATTAGCATATTTGTTATGATATCAAATGACTTTGTTGATCACGTGACGGTCATTTATAATTTTTTGAAGTGTTTCATATAAATCGCTTCGGCGCAGCTGATTAACACAATAATTATTAACATTTTGTTATATAAATAAACTCATCGTATCCTTGTGTATCCTAAATGTGCTTGGGAAAAGTCATAGTATTACTTGGGTACAAAATATTTCCTGAGAAATTCAACTTACATACAAATTTGAGGGTATTTTCCACACAATATCGTAATCTGTATTAAAACAAAGCCAACACACACTTTTCCCAAGCAAGATTCAGTTAGAGAACAACCTCTTCTTACAGATTTCCACAAAAATTCTCAGATTAATCCTCATTAATCATCTGCGCCAGACTCTTTTATACACACAAAATAAATTCTACCTCCAACCACGGATATAAAACAGAGTACATTTCAAAAGTATATTTTTCATAAGCATTTTGAACATGATGAATTTCAATCAAGGGTAGGTAAGCGTTGTATTTTTAAAATATTCGGACATATAAGACTTAAAAAGCCTTTAACGACCCGTGAATTTTGCAATAGCTATCTAGCATTTTACATGCAGTTTGAAATAAAGTGTAAAGTTCATGACACTCTCCCCGTCATAACACCTCAAGGTTTGCAGTGACCTGACGTCATTTTCCATTATGACGTCATACTTTGGTAGTTCAGAGATGTGAAGGCACAGAGTGCACTGTCATATTCTACGGGAAGCCTTAACCTACCTGCGAAGAGAGTAGGCTAGGGTAATTTAAGTAACTCTTCTCATCCAGTTTCATTACTACAAGGTAGAAGAAATTCTCAGCCAGAGCTAGCTATTACAGGTGAGTGCTGTGTCACAATGGCCTCATACAATATGTGACATAAAAAGGCATTTCTGATGACATTATGAGAAATAAGCAGCCTTTGTTTGATGTTTCTGGTACTAATAGCATAATTAAAAAAATCTCTATGTGGCAAAATCATTTAAATATTACCAAAACAATTTCTAGGTATTCTGCTATACTTTTATTTTAATTTTTGTGTGAATGTGTGTTACCTTAAGACATGAACAATATGCTTTCATTCTAAAAAGAGAGTAAAATAAAAATTTCGCTGTGTGGACATAAAATGGAGATCTAATTGTACCTGGTATCCTGATTCAAGAAGAAGAACTTTGAGCTGAAAAAATACCATTCAATTTCATATTTCGCTTGTTTATTTCCCACATATATTTTAGAACTTCTTTCGTCAGTTTTCTTACCTCATTTTAAAGACATTGAATGACAAATATTGTTCCCTACAGTGTATACCTTCATACAAAAGAATTTGGCTACCAATCACACAAAAACAATTTTTGTGTTCCCTGTTTCACAAAACACCCCACTATGCGCTGATTATGAAATGTTTTTACGTTATAATACTCCCTGCGAAACCACAGAGTATGATCTTTCTGTACTTATATCCTGGTTCCCATGTTCATATTCGCCAAGGATAATGTTTTGCACCATCTTTATCAGAGACGGTTTCTGTGATGTGTTCGGTATAGCACTTTGAACTGAAATTTTCAGGTGCTATTATATTTTCTTTAGAAAATGAAGCTATAAACTATTAAAGTATAGTATGCTTACCCTTTATAACTTTCTTACAACATTTAGGTGGAAAAAGTTGGGTATTGATTGCATAGAGACAAACTTACAGGAAGCATACGAATATGTCTAATTATAAGATCAAATAATGTATCCTACGTGACAGAGATCACTTAAAACAGATGGGCTCTACATTTTATTTAAACTATAGGTACAATTTTATCATTGAAATCTGGATCAAGATCATATAAATTTTAACTACAAATCTGGTAGAGAATTTAAATTTTGAACTTACCAAATGTCAAGCATAATGATTAAATTCTTAAAGGAAATACTCAAAGAACTTTGTGTATATCAATTTTGATGACAAACAATACGTATTATGCTCTAAACATCATAAAAAATGTTTATAATGACATACAAAAATTCATATTTAATTTATTTAATTGGTGTTTATAATAACATCTCTTGTTAATTATAAAAACAATCATATATGTCACATTTGGAGTAAGTTTGCAAATAGTAATTAAAAGAATAATTTTAATCATGTCCTAATTTATTTAGCACTCCTGTCTCAATGAGAACATTTCAGCAGACATTGTTTAAGGAATCACTGTCTAGTTAGTAGAGTATGCCAGGGACATCAACGATAGTTGGAAACGTGGGATAATTTGCATAACGGGCGAAACCCGTTATGCATAAATTATCCCACGTTTCCAACTATCGTTGATGTCCCTGGCATACTCTACTAACTTGACAGTGATTCCTTATATTTCTATTTCATTGTGAAATAAAATTGTAAATTTAGATTTTGAAATTGTAGACTAATAGATTTAAATTACACAAGGCCTCACATGTCAATTTCAATAGTCCCGCAGTACAGTTAAGGCTACACATGAAGATAATATGGTAATGAGGTCATAATGAGGTTTGACGTCATGACAGTTGCTCCGCCTTGATAGATCCATATAAGGAAATAGAGCTCAAAAAAGCTATTTAATGATGATTGCAAGAATATGTATTGAATGTCTGTATTTTCAGGTTTAAATAAATAAACATTACTGATCTTCTCTTATATAGTAACAACACGTCTTCGAAATAATTCTCTTTTTATTGTGTCGTTTGGCTGCATTCGGCTTCAGCCAAGCGCTTGCACTCGGTGACACGGAATGTTGTTTACATCTAAAAACGTGGCGACAGCAGCTGAGATATGCAGTGGATAAATGCAACAATCAGGCAATCTTTAAAGAGAATAGAGATAAAATAAGAGACCTGGGCCTTGTTTATCTTTTTGATGAGAAGATAATGACGTTATATCGGGAAATCATGGAAAACTGAGACGATCCGCACTACCTCCCTAGGTCCCTTTCTGTTCATAAGGTGTGTATCAGTATGTGCATAGGTATTAACATGTAGACATACTATTCTTTACATCGATGTAAAATAACCTTGAACATGTACAATAAGATGTATTGTTACAGTCCGTCACAAACTGCAATGCAGTGCCTTGTGTGTACCCCCCCCCCCACCCCACCACCACCACCACCACCACCCACACACGCATACACAAAAACACACATATTATGAAAGTTGCACACTTTTAAATATGCAATGATGTTGTCCTTTGGCATACATGTACAAACATGTAATATAATATAAACACAGCACATCATGATATTAAATAGTATAATTTAGATGCAGTCACACTTAGTGTATCTGTGAAGTCAAACTGCACAGTGTACAATGTATGTGCACTGTACATACAAGAGTATAAGACCCTATATATTTTAATTTATACCTCTGGCAATCAAAAATATGTGAATTTTAAGATTTCAGTTTTTACCAGTGCTTCATATTTTAAATTCATCATAGCACTTTTACTATCTATATCACTAGGCTGTAAATTAATTTGTAGAATTTCTACATTAATGAAGATAAAATGTTTGAATTTTCATTTGTCTGACTACATGTACATTAAGTCAGTCTAATATGTATATACATGTATTTATGTACTGTTTATATGTATAATTCTTTTGTCATTGTAGCTATCACAGAACTGGTTAAAACTGGCATTTACATCAGCTAGAACTATCAAAATAGATGCATCAATTTCTCCACTGGGTATGATCACACTAAAGCATTTCACATTAATTTCATAGTATGCCAGTGTTAAATATTTTTTTAAATGTTGTATAGGTGAAAGAATTAAATGTTATCTCTAGTATATTGATTTTTTTTTTACTTAAATGAAGTTTAGCTACCAATTCTACTTTTGCAAATGTCATAGGTTTCAATTTCCCAGAAAAGTTTTGTATCAAAAGTTTGTTTCCATTTATTTTTTGAATTTCAGAAAATATAGTATAGCATGGTTTGTTTTGTACAATGCAATGTCATTTCATTCTACATTAGTAATCATTATGTTTTTCACTCATTACATATATATTGTGTTGTAGCTACTCCCAAACAATTTGAACAATGCATTCAGGCAGCAAGTGTTTCCACCAATAAAATAAAAAGGTATGCTCCATATAAGCTCTAAACCATACATATTCCTAGCAAGATTATTGAAATGTTTTGATAATAAAAATAGTAGAGTCATGTATATGCTTTCCATGTTTCTCAATGCATTGTTTTGAGTATCACTTTTTTAAAACACCAGTGAACCTTCCATAATGGTATTTCATTTTGTTTTCAGAATTGATTTCATCCAGAAGAACTGTTTGAACTGTGGACTGTTTGAAATATTTTGCACCTGCTCAGAAATCCCTTCACAGCTTGTCTTTGAATTTGAAAGGCTGTTTTTAATTAAATAAATTTTCTAGATAACTAATACTTTGAATTTTTAACAGTACAATGGTGTGAAAGTTTGAAGGCTGTTAAGATTTGAGTATCTTTACTTGCATGTTTCCTGACAGGCGCGTAGCTGCTTATACGCAAATACGCAGGTGCGAACACATCGTTTACAAATCTAAAAAAATGGGGGGGGGGGGGGAGGAGGGAAGGGAGAGCTTTGTGAGAAGAGAAAAAATATCAATACCATCCAGCAAATATTTGTGTTTCAAATTATTTTATCTCATACTGTTTCGATTCAAATTCAAATTCTATATTACCATATCTTTATAAAAAAAAATTGTAATGTTTTATTAAATCATTGCCAAAACCAAATAAAACATTCATTAATTTGTAATTCTTCTACAACACATTGATAATTTATTTTTAAGATCTTTGAGAAAATATCAACCGTTGAATGCTGTGATCAACTAGAATATGATTTGAAATATTATTTTTGTTAAAAATTGAAATTATTAATTATATTTGTTGCCGAAAGATGATACTAATATATCTTTTTAAAAAAAATATTCAGGCTCTACATGTACAATAAATTTGAACGGAAGTATTTAACTTTGTGTTAAAAACAATATTACTATGTCTTGTATTTTCTAAAGAAAATCGAAATGGCATGATTTTGAATGAAATATTTGGTAAAAACCATGAGCTTCCTGGGACTTCGCCCCTGGACCCTCATCTGGACCCACTGGGGGTCTCAAAGCGGACCCCAGCCGTTCTCTGCGTACATTTCACGTCCATTCTGGTATGCACCTGTCTGTGTTTTGGGGTACAACAAGATCTAAATTTCAGCATGTATATTGTGTTCACCTGTTCTTTAACAGAGTATCTGTTTCTGTATTACAAAGTTTTTACTATGATTATCTTGTTTGCGCATTGATTGATAATTACTCAAAAACATGAGACTAAAGCCCCCCTCCCCCCCCCCCCCCCCTACGCCGGTATGATTTGTGCTACAACACCCAAATAAGTAAAACCTGATATAAACACTGTTGTTTAATAATTTATTTTTAACATGCCAGTAAGTATATAGTATCAAAGGACCCAGAGGCAAACTGGTTGGGGGGGGGGGGGTTAGATCTGTAGAAAGGAAAACAGGTTATTAAATACAGGAGTAAGCACCCCAATCCCTTCCTTCTGTTCTTAAAACTTTCAACGTAGTCTAGAATCCAGAAACAGTTGAAGGTTTGATAACTAAAATAATCACATATGAAAAAAAAACAAACTAAGTTCTGTTGGAGATATTTTTTCTGTGTGTCTACTGAGGAAGAATAAATGTTTTATCATTGATAGGGGTTGTCTATTTTTTATTTTTATTACAAATGACTGAATCTTTCAATATTTTTAACCATGGGCATTTTCCAATTTATTTACATGATGGATGTTGCGGCAAATTTTAGGCGAACGGAGGAAATGCGGTAGGTGTCAAATACGTCTTGTGTAGCGTATAAAAGAACGAAGATATACAAAACAAAGTAAAGTCAAAGATTTTTTTATGCATACCGTTTTGATTTAGTGAAATAAAGCCCAGCGCAGTCCGTAGGTATTTGTTTAAAATTTGCGAGGTACATAAACTCTACTAAGTACCACAGAGTTATCTCCCATGCTGGGTCAATGATGCGTTTGAAAACTATATTTAGAATGAATGTGTTAAGATTTCAATTTTTAATCAAAAAGTGCAAGGGCAAGGCGACAACCCAAGAGGTAGGTTTTTATTTTAAATTCTTTATTTTGCTGTATAGTTTTTAAAAAGTGATGCTCATTTCTTTGTAATTCATTAGGCAATTTAAAATTTCCGATTAAATGATGAAAAATACTCTATTTTTGAATACTGGTGTTTGTTTTCAATGAATAACTTAAATATCTCAGAAATCTGACTGGATGAGCATTAGTTTTTCGATAGGATAGATACCAAGGGACACAATGAAACCTTGTGCAGTTCAAATATTGTTTGCCTTGCCCTTGCACTTTTTGATTAAATTTGACATTTCATATTTTGACCTAAAATCGGAGCTCATGTGACTTTAGAGGGTCACATGATGACAAAAAATACCGATGTGAAAAGCGATGGACAAACTCTTCATAAAGCCATTAAGATATTTCAGATAGAGTTTCATGCTAAAAAATAAGACGGTTGAACTTTAAGTGTCTCGTTTTTGGTGCCTTTTTATAGAAAATGTTGCCTTAACTGTACTGCGCCCCGCTCACTGACGTCAAACACAAAGACAGCCGCACGAGAATTACATGCATATTAGGCCTCCTTAGAGTCAGACACAAAGATATCCGCACGAGAATTACATGCATATTAGGCCTTCTTAGCTCCTGACCTTTCGCTTGGCGAAATTTGCATTCCGTTAGAATGATCAAGAAATCAACTCTCCTAACTTTCAAAGAGTTATCACAGAGAAAACAAATAGAAATGGAAATATTTACATATATTTAATTTTCTTAACTTTACCACTATGACCCTCAGCTACGAAGAGGTTGTCACTGGTGTCTACACTTAAACTGCATGGACGGAATAGACCACAGTTATCAATGTAACGGAGGAACTGTCCATCCCGATCTAGGATGTGGATACAGTCATCGTGACCATCTGTTGTCAGGATCTGACTTAGGCTGTTTGTTGCGATACCGTGAGGAGAGAATTGTTTCTGTGTAGTAGAAGGCTGACCCGTGTATTTAAATCGGAGTTTTCCTGCCTTATTAACAATCACCACTGCTCTGGCATCCCAGTCAGCCACACAGATATCCAGGTTCCTGTTCTGACTGATGTTTTTATCACTGTAAGAGTAACCAGACGAATACAAAGGTTTACCTGTACTATCAAACTGAATGGACCGTTCACGGTAGCTCAGTCGGTAGAGCGCTCGCTCCGTGATCGGGAGGTCGTGAGTTCGAATCTCGGCCGCGACATACCTAAGTCGATAAAAAAATGGGTAGCAACTGTTCCTTCGCCATGCGCTCGGCACTTTGAAGTGAAAGTTGCGGGTCCTTCGGATGAGACCTTAAAAACCGAGGCCCCGTGTCACGGCAGGCGTTGGCACGATAAAGATCCCTCACTGCTCAATGGCCCTGAGTGCCGAGTAAAGGTCAAAATTTGAAGGCCTTCACCGGTATATGGTGACGTCTCTATATGAGTGAAAAATTCTCGAATGGGACGTAAAACAATATACAATCAATCAATCAATCAAACTGAATGGTTTGTTTTTCTGTAGAGCCAGAGTAACGGACAACTTTTGTATGTTTATCATCACTGAACATGGTAACCAAGAGATTACAGTCCCTGAAACGTTCTACTTTCCCATTTTTCCGTTCGCTCACCGTTCGTTCACCGTTCGTTCAGCGTGCGTTCACCGTTCGTTCACCGTTCGCTCTCCGTTCACAGTTTTGCGTTCAGCGTTCACCATGCGCTCGCGTTCACCGTTCACAAAGCGTTCAGCGTTCGCTCTTTTCGTTCGTTCACTTTGGTTTCACCTTGCGTTCAGCGTTCACTTATCGTTCAGTCTGTATTGTCATTCGGAACTCAGAAGTGAATGGACTTATCTTTTTCTAAGTAAGGATTTACAAATTTAATAATTAACATATCATGTTTAAACAAAAAAATTATCTACAATATTTATTTTTTATTATTCTAACTTAGCTGTTAGGTTATTTATTAAATTTATCTAGAAAATAAATGTTTTTATGAGTACATGTATGTACCTATGTAGAACGATGCTGAAAAAATAAATTTAAATACGGGCAATATACAGATGCTTCAAGCACTGCAACATTTTCTTGTTGTGTTAAAGACAACAAATCGTTAATGGATAGAGAATAACCGAAGTCAATTAATTTACCAACTTCAGCAGAAATACGAAAATATTTATTTCTAACGCAATTTTATTTTCAAATAATACAGAAATACATGTTAGAACTAATTCTGAGGATTATAAGCAGTACTGCAGCTATCCAGTTTATTAAATATCTTTAGAGGGAATTAAATTGATAGTGTGGTTTGAAAAAAAAAATGTTTAAAATGTAATACATTATAGAATTTTTTTCAAGGAGCACACGGCGGGTGTGACCGGTCGGCAGGGGATGCTCACTCCTCCATGGCACCTGATCCCAACTCTGATGTTTGGAGGTCCGTGTTTGCTCTCCTCCTATTTTGTATTGATTAATGGACATTTTAGCTTGAATACTGTTCGTTATCTCCATATATTTCATTTCTACTTTACAAATATAAAGTCTTTAATTAGAGAGAGAGAAATGCCTTTATAACATGATTATCATTAATATAATCGAAGTGTTTCACCAGTAATGATATTTTTCACCGTAACTTTATATGTTTTCCATTAGATATTATTAAGAGCCCTCCCCCCCCCCCCCCTTTCCCGTAAATCTGTTACTTAGGTAGTATTTCCAGTATATTTTAATTAACATTTAAATAGAAGTTAATGTGTTTTGTAGCACAAAAATTTCAGTCTCAAAACAAAAATACATCTAAACAAAGTCATTAAACAATAGTAGTTCAAAATATACATGTGCCGGCGGTAACATTTTAAATTGGCAGTGAGTATGTTTCAAATTCAAGCGGCTTAATCATTCCAAGTGTTTATTCCCAATGTATTTTATTCATTTATTATTTTTTTTTTTTTTTTTAGAAATGTTGGAATCAGATCTAGAAATGATAAGAAAAAATGTTAAAACTTCTTGGAGATACTTAACACTTTGCCTTCGGTGTGACGAGACTTTGTCGAATGATTTTGATTGACAGGTCAAGCACGTGGACTTCGTGTGAACTTGAAGCAGGAAAATAAAAACCGATTATGACTGTAACACAAATAGGTGTGGTGATAAAGATAGTTTTTTCATTGCCTGGTATATTTAGAAAATAATTAAGAAATTTTATTTGATATAGGTACAAACATTTGAGAAGGGGGGAGGGGGTAAAACCGAATCTCTCTCTCTCTCATATTTGTCTGTTTAATAAAAACTATGACAGCATATTACTTAAATATGAAGTTGTGAAAACTTAATATATAACGAATAATATGATTGTCCCTTTGTATCATCTTGTCCCAGTATAATCACGGCCGGGAAACATGTAGAAGTCTGCTCAATAAATCATCATAAAAAATAAAACTGACTGTTAAATATATTATTGCATTAAAATTTTAAAATACGGGTGTATTTATGCAATACGTCCACATACCTTTGTAAAATATTTTATTTTTTCCTCATTTTTTTTACACGGAATCGTCTTGGCACGGAAATATATGTATGGTTGTTACAACCGTTGTAATTCATTCTATAAGTACGTAATTTGCTCTTCTAAAATCCACATTATTTGTAATGATTTTATATATCAAATAAGAATAAACATATTTATTTTACAACTAGATTAATTTTATCTTTTATACTACAGCGTTCGGTAACAATTACAATGTTTTACAGATATAAAAATCGTGTTATTAAAAAGTTGAATTTAAACATCGTACATATGCGAAGAAAATATTGTTAAAAAATTAAATTAAAAAGTTTACTTAATGTGCCTGTATCGTCTTTCTTAGGATACTTTTCATTGATTTGTTGATTTATTTATTATTCATTTATTTTTTAGCACCAGGCATACATACAATAGAATAGTTTCAATGTAAGGAAAAGATCAGAGGCATTCCGAACAAATCGTTCATCTTGCGTTCACCGTTCGTTCACCGTTCACTTTGAGTTCGCGTTTGCGCTCCGTTCGCTTTCTGCGTTCGCTCACCGTTCACCGTTCACACATCGTTCACCAAGTTGCGTTCATCGTTCACACATCGTTCACTCACCGTTCGCTCTGCGTTCGTTCAGAGTTCGTTCACCGTTCGCTCACCGTTCAAGTGGGAAAGTAGAACGTTTCAGGGACTGTACCAGAAGAGGTACAACACACATTGATAGGTATCCATCCCTGAAGTCTGATCACTTCCTGTATATGTTTATTCTTCGCTATGTTTACAGTTCTTGTTCGAGGGTCAGTATAAACTAGTTCTCCATTCCTTGTCAAGGCTATATCAAATGTCTTTTGCCAGACTTGGTTTTGATTGACTGCAGTAGCCTGCTGTCGAGATTGTAAAGTTTCATGATTTTGTCCTCCCCACATGTCCAGATTTCTTCATCACTGAGACTGGTAACACTCTATAGTTGGTAATGCCCAGTGTCTATGTTGGTGATGAGTTCTGGTTCATCAAGCAGTGGTTTGACTGGAGAGCAAGATACAGTTTCTGGTGTCTTTATTGAGTACCCATGTTCTTCTGTTGTAATGGATAATTGTGATATAGAACCAAATAACTGTAAACACTGTTGCTTACTGTTTCTTGTAGTAAACTATGGAAACTCAACCTTCAATGTAGGTGGAAGTTTATCAAAAATATCTGAATTGATTTCATAGGAAAGTATTTTGGAAGCTTCCTTTGATTTTAGTTTCTCATTAATTTCTGATATAGCCTGTTCAATGTCAGTAACAAGTTTCTTTATATTGTCTAGGTGTTTATTTAGGGCATCTCTATGTTGGTTTCTCATTTTGTTGATTTCTTCCTTGTTTTTTCTCTATAACTTTGTCAATTTCTCTGTGCCATTCTTCTCCATGTTTTGTGACCTCTGATGTAAGTTTCTCGTACTTTCCGTCTATTTCAGCTATCTGGGTTTCTGCATCACTAACCATTTCTTTGAATTTTGAGTAAACTGCATTGAACCGTTCACGGTAGCTCAGTCGGTAGAGCGCTCGCTTCGTGATCGGGAGGTCGTGAATTCGAATCTCGGCCGCGACTGACCTAAGTCGATAAAAAATGGGTAGCAACTGTTCCTTCGCCATGCGCTCGGCACTTTGAAGTGAAAGTTGCGGGTCCGATGAGACCTTAAAAACCGAGGCCCCGTGTCACGGCAGGCGTTGGCACGATAAAGATCCCTCACTGCTCAATGGCCCTGAGTGCCGAGTAAAGGTCAAAATTTGAAGGCCTTCACCGGTATATGGTGACGTCTCTATATGAGTGAAAAATTCTCGAATGGGACGTAAAACAACATACAATCAATCAATCAATCAAAATGGTTTTGACACTGAGGGTACACAAGTTTAGATCTTCTAAAATCAAAAGGAACCACATCATGCTATCTAGAAACATCACAGATGTGTTCACCAACACAACCTTTACACAGATTCATGGGACGTAAGTTACAGTACTTTTGTACAACTCTATCTTCACAGAGATCACATATAATGATATCCTGGAAACAAAGTCTGGGGTCAATTTCCTCAGAATCTTTAAAATACTGCAAAATTTAATTATCATAATTGAATGATAAAATAATAATGTTCTAAAAAGCAAGCACTTTATGAAATCTGGTAAAAGCAAAAGAAAATGAAATTAGATTTTTACCTGCTAAATCTGGTGTAACTGCATGAACATGAAACTACAACTGCAATTTATTAATTTTTTAGTGGATTTAAAACAAATTATATTACTTTTTTATCAATGTGTAAACCACACTTGTATAAATTTTGATATTAAACTCAGTCTGACACAATTCTGGATTTTATCTGTATCAGCGTAATTTAATCCCAATTTGATAACTTAGCTCAGTTGTCAATCTATAATATACCTCTTAGTACTCTAGTGTTTTGCTATTAAAGTTTTCAACAAAAACAACAACAACAAAAATAAATATAAATGTACATAATTAATAACTGTTTAAAGAAAGTGTGCATATCTCACTAAAGAAGGAATATCTGTTTTAAGTTGAACAACTAAATATTATTAAACCAAGCTACATAATTTGGTGAAAAATGAGAAAATGTAATTTTTCAGTTCAAAGTAATTTTTGAAAAGAAATATATATGTTTTGTTATTTTGAAGTTTGTGGAAACATTTGTAGTATTTTTACACAATTAAAATTTCATAATTAGAGTTTTTATTTAAAAAAAAGGAAAAATTAGCAATATCTAACTGTTCTGTATGGGAGATAAGAAAATGTTTGTGGTATTTATCTTTAAATGCAACTTAACTTCTTTAAGAAAATATCTTGGTTGTTAATAAATAAATATATCAATGTGTGTTGATAAAAACCTTAGGCTGTATGAGGGTTTATCAAAAAGTTCGAGGACTGGCCTCATAAAATTTAAATGGTAACATCGATGAATTTTTACATATTTATTCAACAACATATTTTCTGGCTTCAGAATAAGCCAGATGATGTATGGTTGTCCTTTATAAAATTGTAAACGTTTCTGTAAGCAATTGCATGACCTTAAGCAGTGCAACCTCAATAATTAGTTTGATATGAGCACTTAATTGTAATCCAATATCCAATTTAATTCACTATTTAGTGAAACCAAAGTCAGTCATGCCGAAAAGTAATTGCTCGCATGTGATAGAAATTGGATCCATAAATACATGTATCTAATCATTGTCTTTGATTTTTTTTAAAAATGGCTACCCAGTAATGCCTTAATTTGGCATCACCTAACAAATAATCAAAACCAAGTTCAATAATTCACCAGTGACATTTGTTTTAAGACTTGGTTCAGGTAGAGGTGTAATCTATACAGTCAGTTGCCATAAATGTGAAACACAAAGATCCAAATTGGGGTACATGTCTTTGATGTATGTGAAGAAGGGTCCGAGGAAATTGTGAAATGAAAAGAATGTAGAAAGAATGCCAGTGGGAAAAGTGATCAATTGAAAAATCCCAAAGAAAAATGTCATATAAGATGTTAAGACTAACCATCTTTGAGGAACAATCCTGAGTAACAGTGAACCATTACTTTGTCACTAGCTTGGGTTTTCAACACACCTAAGAGGCCATATAGCTCTACTAAAGTAAAATATTTCCCCAAAACAGGAACACATAACTGTCAACATTCAATTTGTTGAAAAACGTGTGTAATTGTTTGATTGTTGTTAGCAAGACCTATAGTATTTATTAAAGGATTTAAGTTTAATACTGTGTGCTTTGCATGATTAAAAAATCTGTTGACATGGCTTTAGTTTCTTTCCTTTGGAAAGAGGATATTAACATTAGTGTAGCACAAGATATGTTGATGGAATCCCACCCAGAACTCATACCATTCTTTTTAACTTTGTTATCAGAAACTGTGAAACTGTCAAGAACTCTTGGAGATGAGAAAGAACAGATCAGTTTTAAACCAGGGGTTTGTGCTGAGAGATCAAATTTATTTCAAGTTATTTTTTGCAAATATGCTCAGAAACTGGTGCGGATGCCAGCTAGCTCTGTATCTATACATAGAATTTTCTTCAATTTTGGCCAATTTCAAACTAAGCTAAGAAACAAACTTAGCGGAGTTGGAGGGGATATAGTAATGCGCTTGTGGGCTTGTGGGTGAGTTAGTTCGTCCTTGTGTGCGTAACAGAAGTGACGTAATTTGCATCGGGATTGATGTTGAATACTGCCTTGATTTATAAATATGCTCTTTTTCGAGGGGATTCTCTGCTTTGTGGTGTCTTTGTTTATGTATCAATATACCCTTATCACCTGCAGATTTAGTTTATACCTCCCAGTTGATTCAATACAGAATTTTCATACATATTTTTGAGGCCATTATTTACACCCTGAATTGTCTAGTGATTTTTCCGTTTGCCTGATCAAGACAAGAAACACCCGGCGGGTGTGACTGGACAACAGGGAATGCTTACTCATTTCATAAACAACGACACAAGTAACCCTCGTCTGTAAGATACATTATGCAAGCTCACCTTTCCACACTTCTATAGAGAACAGTACAAATTCCAAACAAAGCAGATGACTTACTTCTGTGAAAACAATTTTGGGGAGATTTGATTATCAGTATGAGCCCTAAAGGGCCATCTTTAAAAATTGTTTGTTTGCCCTATCCGGACTGACTGGCTACCAATCGAATCAAAACTTTTTTTCAACCACCAGAAAGCAATTATTTTTTTATTCATTCTGGACAATAGATTTTGAAAATTAAGCATCGAATTTGAGCTTTTCTGAGAAAAAAATTACCACTTACCTCCTAACCAATTTTTTCGTCCCGAGTCGGGAGAGGGCAAACAAACATGATAAATGATATTTATTTTTTCTTTTATATCAAATACATGAACTAAATTTATATACTTTAAAAATAAATTGAACAGTATAGCTGTTTCTGTGTCATAAGCGGTAAAATGTGGAACGGTCTTTCTTTGCATTGTCAGTTCAATCCCTAGCTTGGGTGCTGCCATATTTTCTGTAGAAAAGGAAGCTGTACACTATTTCAGCATAAAATGCCTAATATGCTATATACATTCTTTTCCTTCATGTATAAGGAAAAAGTTGAGTAGTGATTAAGGAAAGACAGAATTTTGCAGTCATGTCTCCATGAAAATAAAATTGCAACACACATTGTTTACATATATTTGATTATTTTCACTTCATCACTGTTAAACTCGGCCACAAACAGGTAGTCTCTATTGTCTACACATAAATCCTATGGATACTTTGGATAACAGTTATCAATGTAACGGAGGAAATGTCCGTCCTGGTCTAGGATATGGATACAGTGGTTGTAACAGTCTGCTGTCAGGATCTGACTCTGGTTGTCTGTTGTGATGCCAAGTGGATCAAATGATCCCTTGGTAGTAGAGGGATGACCAGTGTATTTAAATTGGAGTTTTCCTGTCTGATTAACCACCACTACTGCCTTGGCTTCCTGGTCAGCCACACAGATATCCAGGTTTTTGTTCTCACTGATGTGTTTAAGGTAACCAGATGAATACAGAGGATTACCTTCACTATCAACTGAATGGTTTGTTTCTCTGTGGATCCAGAGTAACGAACAACTTTTGATCGTTTATCATCGCTGTACATGGTAACCAGGAGGTCACCAGAGGAGGTACTGCAGACATAGTAAGGTTTCCAACCCTGTAGTCTGTCCACTTTCCGTATCTTATAATTCTTCACCATGTTTACAGTTCTTGTATCAGGGTCAGTATAAACTAAATCTGCACTCCTTGTCACTGTGATGTTACCTGGCCATTTCCCTGACTTGGTTTGGATTGACTTTAGTACTTTGCCCTGGATGTTGTAGAGTTTTATTATTTTCTCATGGCCACGTGTCCAGATTTCTTTATCCCTTACACAGGTAACACTGCGTAGATATTCATACCCAGTGTCTATGGTGGTGATGAGCTCTGGTTCATCAAGCAGGGGTTTGACTGTAGGACAAGATACAGCATCTGGTGTCTCCATTGTGTAGCCATGTTTAGATTTTCTCAAATCACAAGGCAACACTTCATGCTTCTTAGAGACGTCGGAGATGTGTTCCGCCATACAAATCTTGCACAGATTCATGGGACATAAGTTACAGTACATTTGTACAACTATGTCTTTACAGAGGTTACATCTAATGATGTCCTGGACACAGAATCTGGGGTTCATTTTAACAGATTCCTTAAAATGCTGTAAACTTTAATGTAGCATAATTGAATAATCAAACGTAGAGAATGATGTAAAAAAGCATGCATGTTAAAAAAATGTGTTAGGAAGATGGAAATGAGGATTTTACCTACTAAATCTTTTGTATCTGTAACTGCGTGAACTTGAAACCGTGGCTGCAATGATTTATCAGTGGAGCTAAAACAAATCATATGACTTTAAAATCATTGATAAACTATCTCACACTTACATGAACTTTGATATTAAACTGATACACCTTTGCATTTTATCTGTTTCTGTGTTGTTTTATTTTTTATTCCTAATTTGCTAATATTTATTTACATCATAATAGCTCCGGTGTTAACTATTGATCTGAAATGTACTTTTTAGCATTGTTCTACTATTAAGTATAAATTTTCAATAATAGATATAAAATATAAATTTTCACCATTAAGAACTGTGTACAAAATTTACATTAAATGCAACTTTATTAAGCAAATACTAGTATCTTGCTGTAATACTATCATATATAGACAAAAAAGTGTCAATACTTCAATTTTTATTCTCTTCACATGTAATTTCATATAAAAGCAACTTAAAAAGACTTCAAGGGCTCATTCTTGTTAAATAGTTTTTATAACCCCCCCCCCCCCGCAAAGTTTTGGGTGGGTATATAGGAATCAAATTGTCCATCTGTATGTCCGGTCCATATCTTTCTTATGGAGGATCATTAGAATCTACTACTTCACACAAAGATTGTTCATGAGCTGAGGGTGTGACAAGACAAGGTGTGGGAAAGTTCAAGGTCACTGAAAGAAAAAGTTCATAATCCGTGTCCGGTCCATATCTTTCTGAAGGATAAACTTGGTGAGTTCCCATTTTGCAAAAAGATTGTTTATGACTTGAGGATGTGTCAAGCCTTGACCTAGGGTCATACAAATGTATGTGCAAGTTCAAGATTACTAACAGTAAAGTTCATAATTCATATCTGGTCTGTATCTTTCTTATGGAGAATAATGTTGGGATGTTGGGAGTTTCATCTTCACAAAAAGATTGCTTATGACCTGAGGGTGTGTCAAGATCAGGGTGTGTCAAGATCTTTACCTAGAGTCACTGTAGAAAAAAAAAAATAGATAAATAATGCATCCATACTTTCCAATAGAGAAATACTTGAAAAATTATTCGATTCAATTTTTCACTTTATATCATTATTTTTGTGACACATTTAATACGGTATAAACAAGCAAATTCAAAGAATTTCGGTGACTTAGTGGGTGAGATGCCATTATATATGGCATATTGTGTCAACTATGAACGTCCTATCATATGTCATTTAAAAGTAATCACCAAATTTAATTTTTTTTTTTGGGGGGGGGAAATTAGGTCGAACATGAAGGTCAAGGGATCAAAAATCATACCATGCTCGAAACCATCTTGTCATAGGTAATGCACATGTCAAATATGAAAGCCCTATCTCTTCTCAATCAAAAGTTATAAGGAAAAATAATATTTTGAAAAGTAGGTCAAACTTCAAGGTCAAGGTCAGCGGGTCAAAAATCATAGTATATTTGGAAAGGTCTTGTCACAGGTAATATACATGTGTAAAATGAAAGCCCCACCTTTTATCTCCCAAAAGTTATATGACAATTTTAAAGTAATGTTAAAATTTTTGAAAAGTAGGTCAAACTTCAAGATCACAGGGTCAAAAATCATAGTATATTGGAAAGATCTTGTCACAGGTAATGTACATGTAAAATATAAAAGCCCTATCCTTCTCCTTGTAAAGTTATGATCAAAGTTAAAATTTCTGTGACAGAAAGACTGACAGATGAATGCAATTTAATGTCCCCTCGCTTTAGGAAAAGAGGGGGACAATAATGGCATCCCATGCACTAAGAGACCAAAAGCGGGGGACCACAATTCTTTGAATTTGCTTGTTGTCTTTGCTGACCCAGTGGTTCTTGAAGATTTATTAAAGATTTCATTAAATTTTCACTAAGTCTTAATTACCTCCCCTTGGAAGATGGCATGGCCCTTTATTTAAACAAACTTAAATTCCCTTTACCCAAGAATTTTTTGTGGTGAGTTTGGTTGAAATTGGCTTGGTGGTTCTTGCAAAGATGAGAAAGTGAGATTTAAAAGTAGTCATAAGAAAATGTTTAAGTATTTTTGGCTCAGGTGAGCTAAAATCATACCACCAGAGAGCCTTTTTCATGATGCTCGTCATCTTTGATACATGACATTGTCATGGGATATTGGGATGATTAGCTCCATCAAGGTAAAATATGAACACAGAGAGCAATCCATCAAAGAACTATTAATTGAAACCTGGAGGGTTATAAGACAGTTTAATTACATTAAACCATAGATATAACATCACCCAATTATTTAATATTTCACTGATATTACATATTGTACAAAAATGTGTAAATCATAAATCTATACATTAAATACATTCAAAAAATGCATTATATTTACCTTTAAATACTGTACATAGTTACATATAATATTTTTTTTTTAAAATAAATCATATCTCATGTATCTTGAAAAGAATTTGAGATTAAAAAAATTATACAACAATAAATTATAAAGCATTATTTGGTTGATTTTTTGAAAACTTATGTATGTATTAAGAAATAAAATATAGTACAAAATATTACTTCAGGATTCATAATTCAGGTACTTTGATCAAGCTCAGGTGAGCTAAAGAGCTAAAGAGCTTGTCTTACTTTTCATGTTAATGCATTCATTCACAATTTTTTAGCTGTACTACATGTTTATTAAAGGACAAATGTGTACATGTACATATATGTTACTAATCCTGATAATATAAACTTCTAACTCTGCAGAGCAAACCAAGTTGAAACATTGTATCCAGAATTTCTTCACGATCTTTTCTAATTAAAAAGTTGTAAGGTCTTGAGTAAAGAATGCTACTTCTGTCATCTTCCACTTTATCACCGTTCCTTAACTTTTGGAAATGTTCAGTGCTCAAATCCAAACGTGTGAAAATGATCTGCAATATTGAAATATCCATATTATTAAGTACTTGTTTATGTTCTTGTTAATAATTATCTTTACGGATACAATTTTTCACAGCCGTGAAATACTGCAATTCATCTGTTGAAAGTAATGATTTGCAAGTCCTATTGCAACAAAAATTCCATTTTCCTTCCTTTGACACGAGTGTTAAAAAGAAAATATCCAACATTGATATAGATGATATAGACTAAAAAATGCTTAAATTGCTTGAAATTGCTGATAAAATCGATGTTTACTATTATCTAATAAAACAATCATTTAGCTATAATGTCTCAAGTACATGTAGCAAACAGAAAATTCAACTCTTTGAACTGATGAAAATATAAAAAAAAAATTGGTGTGAATTAATTCCAACTACGGTAAACACAATATCTTTTATGCCTATCTGAAGTGTTCTATTACTACCTTAACAACATGTCAAGAGAATGAGTGGAACAAACATAGAGCAGAGGATATAATAACTTTCACTGTGCTATATGATAGATATCACATTTATTACTTAATGTTTACATTAGCAGGACTGAAATTAAAACAAGAGGCCCATGGGCCACATGGCTTACCTGAGCACTTGGCAAGAAAAAAATGAAATGATTCAGAAGATATCGAACAGTTCAATGACAGACTTATTTGCAAAGAAGATCATTGTATAGACAAACAAGATTAATGCAATCCTTGCAACATCAACTTATTTGTCAAAAGCCTGCCTTATTTTAGAAATTGTTTGCATGTATATTGCTTGTAGAGTGATATGGAGACTAGTTCTTCAGATAAGGCTATATAAATCCAGGTCCTATGTCACAGAAACTGGCACGAAAAAGATTCCTTACTTCTTAAAAGCACGAGTGTCAAGTATAGGTTTAAATACAGCCCTCCACCTTTTCTCAATATGAGTGAAAAAGTTCTCAAATGGACATTAAGCAAGCAAATAAACAAATCCAATAGTAGAATTAAATCAAAGTTATTCTAAAATTCAATTGTAATAAATTTCCTTTTTTTTCAAATAAAAAAACTCATATTTTGTCATATTTATAAAGCAAAACGTCCTTTTAAAAAACTAAATCATATAGCAAAATTCAACATATCAAGACAACTGTACTTATTAGCTCTTACCTGCACATGTGAGTTATGGTTAAGAATCACTCAAAATAATAGCTAATTTATTTTATTCAAATGCAATTTATTAAGAATAAATCTACAACAGTTCATTCTATTGAGTTGCTTATTGATTAAAAATTAAAATTGTAATTACTAGGATGGTTCTGGATAAGAAGTCAAAACTATGAAAAGTAAAGGACAGAGAGTTGTGCAATTGACAAACTTCTATCAGAAATGTTCACTAAGATTTTCAAGTAATAAAATTTATTAAAATTACTAACCGTGGTCTTTACAAAAATAATTCCAAAAGATGTATTAGGTATTGCAGAATTCATGATTTCCACTAAAAGTTCTCCTTCATGCCGTCCTAACAAATTCTCGACAGGTTGGCTTCGAAACTTCTCATCTCTGATACTAAAATCAATGGCATTTTCCATGTTCACATTCACCTGAGATTACATTTTTTTTATTAGCTTTGCTTTACAATATATGAATAAGATTATTAACCAAAAATCTATTATGATACAATGGCTCCATTCATTGGTTTTAACTATAAAGGAGAAAAATCTGCAAGAGACTTAATGTAAAACTCTTGATTCCTTCGATTCCCAAACTATCTCTAGAGGTCATGACTGAACAAATTTTAATTTACATTGCCTGAGGTTGCTTCAATATAAATATTGAATAATTGTGACTTTGTTGATCTTGAGATAATTAATTTAAAAGATGCCCACTGTGGCCCTGCGCAGCTCTGTTAAGGCTGCATAAAGGGGGCGGGGCCTAATTTATACGGGAAATGTCTACTGTGACATCACACAAATATAGCAATTCCTCACAACAACAGAAAATGAAATAATATGCGGTTTTAAGCTGCATAAGAGTGATAAACTACATCAAAACTTACCACTGCATTCATTTGTGTCGCTATTTAAATCCCAAACAGCAAGATATGAACAAGTCACTGATCGCAATGTACTTGTCGACATGACGTCATCATGGTAAAATTTGACGCATTTTATGTGCAGTGAGAGGTGGATCAAGTAATTTAACCACAGTGGAAAACGCATTTTATTATTAAACAGAATATTATTTGCAAATCTTAGGTAGACCATTAATACAAATCTGAAACCTTTGTTTAGTGCCATTATTTAAAAACTAGAAAGAAAATGTATTGAATTAATTCTACCGTGTTTTTGTGTACTGGGTGTGCATGTTTCACGCGGAGGTGCCTCGTTAAATCGCCTTTTCGCAAGGGCATACACTTAATTGATCTTGACCATTTTTTAAATATGCATAACGGAAACATTCCTTAACTTGAAAAGTGCTGCTGCTTTCCTGAAATCGGGAGCATTACTAAATAAATAAATAAAATACATGGTAAAGGTCACACATATTTCGACATAAGCCAAATAACTTGAAATTTAAAGTAATAAAATGCGAATTCTATTTAAAGCAGCAGCACTTTTCATAAACTACAAGTTATATAGATACAATTTATTACCGAAATTTTTAATTCTAACTAGGGTATGCCCTTGCGATATTGAAATTTGTTGATGACCTACATACAGTACACATTAAATGCATTTATCACGTGACTGTCAAATAACGTGACCAAACCAAATTCTGTACAGAGCGGGGTATACTATGTTATTTCAATTAATATTAAAGTCATGTGATAATATACTAGCTTTACAAAAATAAATTCAGTTTAAAAAGATATGTATTTATGCACGTTTATATTCCGTTGATTTCTTCGTAGTACGCCTTAACAGTCCTGCGTGCTTTATCCCTAAAGGACAAAGTTAAATCTGCACTACAGAGAATGCTTCAATATCATAATGAGAAGACTTTTTAAAGTTTTTTTCCCTTTTACATTCCTATGTAAAACTTTGATCACCTACTTTGCTCCTCCAACCTTTAGCCCCTTGGGTCATGATTTGAACAAACTTAATTCTTCTTTATGTTCCATCTACCTGAACAATACATAGGGATCAAGGCAGGTGTGACCAGTCAACAGGGGATGCTTATTCTCCTAGACACCTGATCCCACCTCCGGAGTTTCCAGGGGTATGTGTTTATGCTCTGTTCAGAGAATTTTATTGTTTGTAGTTTTACAAGATTGATCACTGTCCGTTACCTTTTTCATGTAATAAACCTTTCACATAAGTTTCATCTTTTCTAGTCCTGCCGTTATCAAGGAAAAGATTTTTTTTTTCAAGGTACATATGTAGCCATTAAATTTTCAATTTTTTTTTAATTATCTCCCCTTGAAAAAGGGTCTGAATGTATCTAAATTCCCTTCATCCAAGGACTATATGCCATATGCTATATGTTTGGTTGAAATTGTCTCAAAGGTTTAGTGCATTTTCAAAAGGCATTTCTGAGAGTGCTTCAAATAGATTATATACATGTATCCATACAAGGTTTCTAGTGAGGAACTTGATTTATCAAATGTTATTTCACTAAAGCTGCCAAATAGAATACAATATACAATATTATAATCATGTGATAATCACTAACATATACAAGCACCACTAAGAACTTTCATACGTACCTCTCCAACAGTCCCTGTCATCAGAGATGAACCTGTACAAAAACGTGAAGGTTCTCCGAGCACGGTGTATTTGATATCTGGAACACTAGTTGTGTCTACATTATTAAGCCTCATTTCTACTTTCTGCCAAGCATCACCTCTCCTGCAAAATTTGATTTAACTTACTTTATTACAAAAATACCCTTTTCTTTAATCATTTTGCGACATAAGAAATGATTAATATACATTTCATAAAATAAATGTGCTTCAAGATAATGTGATGCCCGTTTTACCCTTTTTTTCACTCTCCTCATGAAATTATCAAATTTTATAAGTCATGTAATATAAGAAAATTAATGTTGAATTACAAGGATGTAAAATGTAGGTAGCAATCATGAGTTAGCATGCATAGTTCTTTTATCAACCAGTATAAGGCAAAGCCTCACACCTAATTAATGTTCCTGTAGTGTTCGTCCCTAGATTATACATCTTTGCAAATTATCTGCAATGGCGTATATTCCATTAGGAAGAAAGGCTGCAGCCTACACACCATTTTCTCAGGGATAAATTTTGGTTAAAGAAAGGGGGAGAAAAATTGATAATAAATCTTATTTTGTTGCAAGTGCAAAAAAAATTTCTTAGCAATGCACAAT